ACAGTCTCTTAACAGCATGTAATGTTTCGAAATGGAAAGACATATGCTATTGATAATAATGATGAAAAAAAATGGAGGAAGGGGAGAACGAACCGTAAACCCTTTCGCAGATCTCGAGGAGTCCATCGGGCGGCTTCCTATAGAACAGCTTCCGAAACAGCGCCATACAATGCCGGGTCGTGTTCTTCGAGCTCGAATCAAACTTGTCCCTCAGTCAGCCAGAAATCGGATTCCGAATCAAACCTGCGGGTGCTATGGACACAGATTCCCGTCTCTGTAGCTCTTTGGCAGTAGGTGGGAAATTCTCCTTGTCTTGGCGGAGAAGATGATGAAGATGGCGAGAGATGGATTGAAATCCGTTTCTGTTTGTTTTGTTGTTTAGAAAGCCGAGCGGCCTCGGGACCGACTCGGTTAGGGGGGGAGATGACGTGACGTCACTGTCGGAATGATCTGGACCCGCGCCACCGGAATTGGACACGCCAGAGCTGATAGCGACAACGTGTCACGCCGTGGAAGCACGCCACGTCAACTGCGAAACGCCACCTTACGCAAATTTAAAAAAACAAAATATATACCTATATTTTTAGTCCAAATTTTTAGTCCCTTAATCGATGTCGGAGTATTTGTCCAGTTTTAACTTTTTTGGTCAATTGTTTTCAACACCTATTATTAAATAAAATATATATTGTATATTAATTGAATAAAATAATATTTTGAAAATATATTATATAATAAATTTAATAAAATTATTTTTATATGAATATCTTATATCATTTTTATTTAATTTAAAGTTAAAATTTACCAATTTTTACTAAAAAAGTCAAAATGACAAATACTGAGAGACGAGGAGTATCATTTTAGCTAATAAGTTATGAAGTATAAGTTACATCTTTTTATGTTGAAAAGGAGAAACCAACAAAAAAATCTACGATAATAAATTATCAATTATATAAGCTAAACCACCATCCGTATCATATTCATATATAAAAGTATCTATAAAAGGCATGCAAAACTTGAACCCAAGAGTTCATACTCAGCTTTAACATTTTAATGAAGGTTATAAAGATCAATTCAATTATAAGTGGAGAATGTCTATCGTACAACAGGTGCACCTAGAGCTAGGTATCTCCGTCAAGGTTCATTTTGAATCAACGAAAAGTTCATTTTGAATCAAAAGTGTCATGCCTGAGACTGACCGATGACGTAAACAACCGCCGTACGAATCATCGAAGCTATCGTAGAAAAAAGTCTCCAATGAATCATACAAGGCTAACGATACATAATCACATCAAGCAGAGTTATTTATTAAATAAACCAAGATCAAAGTTTATGCAGAATACACCGTAATAGCCACATAAGGCAGTTTATAGAAGTAAAATTTGCACTAAATAGGACTAAAACATAATGACTTTCCTAGTGTAGGACTTAAACTTTTTTATTCCCTAAATAGGACTTAATAATGACCTAGTAGAAGGAATAATGTCTAGTAATGATGGACATTTAGTTGAATAATGACTACTTGATAATAACCAAAAGTCCTACATTGGGATATAAAAACATATGGTCCTATATCGGGAAAGTCATTATGTTTTAGTCCTATTTAGGTAAATTTCTCTTTATAGAATTACAAACTTGAAATAAGAGTTCTGAATACACACAAACATAATATAAACTTCAAAAGAGGCAAGCCCACAAAACCATGAGTCTTGCTTGCAACCACTAGTACCCAACCACAAGTACTTATGCATAAGATAGCTATGCACCGTGAGAATATAGTTAAGGTGGTGTGGTGAGTATAATGCCACATCGTGTATTACTGAGTGGAGAAATACAATATTCCGTTAATTTGTCCATGACAACCAAGCACATGTCTGATACCCGAGTATCATTTAACTCTGATCTATAGAAAAATAGGAGTTCGTCTTCGATACTGACGGCGGGCACCAACTCCAATGTGGTCGTGGCATCCGGGCGACTTCCAAGGACCCTTCAATTGCAAGATTTGATGAAGATTTGCAAAACCCCCAATTTTGGATCCAATTTCGAATTTTAGGGTTTTTTCGAGTAGAAAAATTCAGATTCGAGAAGTTACAGACCAAATTAGAAAAAATGGTTTGGATATTATTGATCCTCGTCTCAAGACGAAGAGAATGACATTGGTCCCGCCGGAATCGGAAAAAAGTTCATTTTCCGGCGACTTTGACCGGCGGGCGGGGGGGGGGGGCGTGGAAGAAAAGAAAAGAAGAAATGGGGTCAAATTGAAAATTTTAAAATATATAAAATTCGAATTTGGCCCTAATGACCGGAAGTTAACCTAGAAACGGGCTAATGGCTCATTAGTGAAAGGATTGTGTAAGTTCAGGGATTTTTGTGAAAGGATTTGAAGTTCAGGTACCACTTCGAAATTCCATCTAAAGTTCAGGTACTGATGGGTATATCCTTATACCCAACCCGGACAACCGAAAGGGACAGGTCAAAATATGACCGGTCACTTTTATCAATCACCAAATGAGGTTAACTCTTCGATTGGGACGGGTCAAAAGTTGACCGGTCACTTCCACTAAAAAAGTGACCGGTCACATTTTGGGCGATAGCCAAAATGTCGCCTAATATTACAAAGGACATTCTAGAAGACCTGAGACGGGTTGAGCACAAAGAATGACCGGGTAACTTTTGAGAGAAGGTGACCGGTCATATCACTTTACTTGGCTAACATTGGTTCAGTCTCTTAGGCATGGTGAACCACGTCAGAGGTCAAGGGGACACCCCGCCGCTCATCCATCACGAGGCACACAGTGAAAGGGATGTTTGTCATTTTGCAGGGTTGATTGGATTGAGAATATCCATTTTAGTCTTTGATTGAACAGTACATGTCTTGGC